ATCACATTTTTGTATTATTACTGGCAATGTAGGATAAACAATAAAAATGTTGTCTTTAAATAGTGCGAATACAAACAATACATTGCACAATTTTTTGCCAGGTATATTTCGCTGTATCTCATCAGGTGCGTTACTACAGAGTAACATCAACATTAAAAAGGAAGGAGTTGTTGATTTTAATTGTTAAAGCTTCGGCGATTGTTGTAAACAAGGTCAACGCAAAATTGTAGGTGCTCAAATACTTGAAGATGTTTCGTCACTGTTTTTATTTTAAATAATCACTATTGATTACATTGATGCTTTTACCTGTAAAAAACAGTAGTCAGTGCTCAATTCTCAGAAGAATCTGGATTTTATTTGTGATCGGGCAATCGGTCAAGGATATACACGGATATCCACAAATTACAAACAGTAGTACAAAAGTGATACGAAGATTGTAAGACTAATAAAAAATAAAAAATATATATATCGTGGTTGTAGGAAAGGGCACAGTGAAGACGCAGTTGATGACAAATGTCTTAGAATAAAAAACATGTAGATACATTTATGGAATGTATAAACAACGTTAATTTAGACCTGAAACACCTGCTGTTTAATTCAAATGTAGATATGGAAATACCGTGCCAAGAAGGTATTAAAGATTAACAAGATGCAGATTAATACAAAGGAAGAAAATGCTTTTCTCTTATTGTACTAATGATAACTTCACATTGTAAAAATTGCACTGGAAAATATTGAGAGAAAAAATATTTTAAACAGCAGTTGTGAACATATGCTAACATAAAATATACGCAGAACAAATATTTAAATTTAACAACGATACGGTTATTATGAAAACCACATAGAAGGCGACACTAAAAATATCAAAAATAAGTACAATGGTATGCAATTAAAAACTGTATCAGCTAAACAAGCAATGAAATATTATCGGATTTAAGACTCAAGCCTAAGAAGAAATTAATTACTGCGAAATCTTTAACCTAGTAAAAAAAAAATTCTTGAAAAAAAAAAAAAAAAAACCCTGCAAATGACACAAGAATATGCCCAAAAGCACAAAGAAACAGCTTATAAATGAATAAAAAAAAAATTTGAAGCAGCAAGTGCAACGAAATGGATTGAAGCAATACGTGCAACAAAATGGTTAGAAAAAAGACAACAAAAGAGTATGGGCAAGTCATTGATTTCTTAAAATCAATTAAATTAGTCATTAGAGCATTTAGACTAAAGAAGGTTAACTTTTCTAGTAGAGACATGAAAAGGAAAATCTGCTATGAAAAAAGTGATGAAGGAATTCATAATATGAGAACAATAACCGAAGAAAGTAACTTAGATCTATCACTACTAACATGAAACAAAGGTTAGTTGCGTATCCTTTACAGGGCGTTGCAGAACCAACCCCAACAGCCCCTGGCTGTTGCGTGGTTTTTCTAGGCAAATTTACGTCCAGTAGTTTGCCATTGCTTCTGGACGGTCGGCTTTTTTGACACCACTGTCGAAACCAACGCAAGGTGCATGGCCCGCAGCTGGGATCGAACCAGGCATCCCGGCATTACGAAGCGTTCGCATCGACTTAGCCACAGAGCCGACAAACATAAAGAGAAAAGGAAAAAACCAGCAGCTGAAATAATTCTGGATGATTTAGAACTAAATGAATAATTTTTGGTCAAAGATTTTTCACATAATGACAACTGTGAACATTTACCTGATGCTGATGATTTTATAGAGGTTCCAGTAACAAGCATAAGCAAAGAATCTCTGATATTTATTCTAACAAAATCCTGCATCCGGCTTTTATTAGAAATTGGTTTCTTGCGCTGGGACTGTTTGTAACGCCTGACAAGACTCAGATACGAAGTGTATCAGTTCTTTTTATTCTGTTACCCAAATATTATGGTGTGCTTGGTAACGATCAGGCTGATAAATTAGCTGGAGGGTGAGCTACTTCACGATACAGTGGTTGTGGTGAATGCTCTGTGAGATCGAGTAAGCAGTGCAGCAAAACAGCCTGTGAGTGAACATTCAATCCCACCAGGACCGCACAACGAGCGATAAACACACGGTGACACAAAGTGCCACTAATCGGATGAGAATCACACGGATACGAGTCCCAGAAACCCCTTTCAACCCATTATGTTATTTTAGCCCTTCCCCTTCCCCCGACTATACCTGGGGTGGGGCTTAAAATAAAAAAAAATTGCGTCTCATATTGGGGCGAGGTATACCAAAAAAAAAAAAAAAATAAATAAATAAACAACCAGAGCCTTCATATGTGGAGATAATGATTCAACGAAGAATGAACAGTGACTCTGCAAATTTATTTTATGGGTAACTTTAAATCAGGTGGGGACTGCCACAACAAGTTTGGAAACCCTTTATTGGCTACTTATAACGGGGATGGAGCCCGTTTGTGAAAATCCCCAGGGCAGTGATGCCAATTTTCCATTCACCCATTCAGTCGACACTGTTTGAAATTACAAAATGGGAAAAAAGAGTGAAAATGAAAATTAGCGATGAACGGAAAAATTGTAGCAAGGAAACGAATAACTAATAAATCATGCGTATTCTAATACTAGAAAGATAACGAATTTATATAACATCTTGTGTCACATAATTTAATTGTGTTATAAAAATTACACGCCAACATATGAAAAACATGTAGATGATATCCAGATCATGCGCGCGGACACCCAAAAAAAAAAAAACACTAGGGGTAAGGGTGTTTATAACCCTTGCCCCACCTTATAAATGTTTCAAGCTCAGACTGAACACCCCCCCCCCCCTCATCCCACATCAAGTGAGGGGCTTTTTAAAAGTATTCAGTTATACATTTCGTATTATTTTATGTATATTATTTTAAAATTCAACACAATGGTATTGGTATTAATAGTATTTATTTAAGATATATAATAAAGAAATATGCATTATAGAATAATGCATACACACATCATGTGTACGCAATCTTACACACTCACACACATGTATATGTACTCTTAAATTCTCATACATGCACATTCATATACAGACATACCTAATAAATACATACACGCATCTTTATACATACATACACAAACAGAAAAGACACACACATACACATATTGACATACATGCACACACACATTCATTCCATATATTAAATTACTTAAAGAAAAAAGTGTAACATGAGTAGACTTTAAGGTTTAAAGGAAGCCTCATGATGACCTAACACAACTTAGGAGGGGGGGGGGGGGGGCTCAATCAACCTTCAAAACCATGGGTTGGTGGGGGAGGGGGGGGGGGACTTAGTCGACCTCTAAAACCATAGTTTGTTGGGGTTGGGGTTGGGAGAGACATTGGCCAACCTTTAAAAACATGGGTTTAGGAAGAGGGAGGGACCTCAGCCAACCTTTAAAACCATGGGTTTGGTGTGTATGTGTGTGTGGGGGGGGGGGGGGGGGAGTTGGGGTAAGAGGGTGAGAGATCCCAGCCGACCTTAAAACAAAAGTTGGGGAGGGGGGTCTCAAGGAGCCTCAGCTCTGAACTCTGAAGTTTGGCGCTATAATAAAGATGACACTACAGCTTGTGGTGGTCATGTGAACATGTTGGAACGCTTACCAATTGTTGAGAAAATCTCTGAATTTTAAAAAATGTTATAGCGGGAACAAATGTTACGAGCCATTTTCAAATTGTTGAAATAAACGTTGCGGCTGGAAAGAATTCATCAGAATACAAAACATACAAACAATGAATCAGCTACATAAATTCACCTATCTGTGACACAGTCATGAAAACACACTTGAATATAAACACACTCGCCACACGTGTTGTTCCAGGATATAGATACTGAATAGGACGTGATGCCGCAGAGAATGGGTTGGTTAGTAATCAGGCGAGGCACCTCAAAATAGTTTCAGATAAAACTGTGTTGGACATTGAAGTCCTTAGGGGAGAGTATCAAAATAATTTTTTTACGAAAAATTTAAAGACTGGTTTGATTTGATTGTGAAGACAGCATCTGATTTTATATAAACATATTAATGTGCAGGTAATTAAAAATGAAATTTATTGACCGGCCAGTGGAAATATCATAACCGTTGCCTGTGCTTGTTTTAGACTGTCAGATGTCAAGTTGGTTGCGTATAATTTAGAAGACGTTGCATAACCAATCTCAGCTTGTTTGGCTGTTGTGGTTTTTCTAGGCAGAGTTTATATTCGGTAGTTTGCCACTGCTTTCTTAACGGTCAACTTTCCCTACCACTGTCGAAACCAATGCAAGACAAATTGTCCGCAACTGGAATCGATCCCGGCATTACGAAGCGCGTTCGCAACGCCTAAGCCACAGACGCTGTCAGGTGTAATCACAAATATCTCTCTTTTTTTTTAAATTTAAAGTTTCACGTTAAAACAATGGTTTTATTCCGTTTTTGTTTTCTTATACGTCTATCAATACTGATGTTACAACTGTGGCTTGTATGGTTAGGCTAAATCAGCGGTTGGCAAATCGCGGCTCGATAGCCGCATGCGGCTATTTACAGACCTAAGTGTGGCTCGGGAAGTCGGTCAAAAATCTGTTTTGACTCTGGAAACAAAGTTTTTGACAGGCTCTTGAAAAGAAATTTTGCTCTCAATAAAGTTGTAATCGTCCTGCTGCTGATTTGATCTTTTTCGACCACTGGTCTAAAACTGTCGCGATACACGAAAACTGTAAAAGTTGCTACTCATATTATGTGTTACCAGCTATCTTTCCTTGATTATAGATTTGTCGTCAGATATCTAAAACGGAGCTTCTCTGCACATACGAGAAGACCCTCAATGGATGATAACAATGCAATCAATACGGAAAACAGCTTTGAGAAAGTATCAAAGAAAAGTTTTGGTAACAAAGTAAGTTACTCTGCTGGCAAAAGTAACTCGTTCTGTAGTTCATTCAAAGCATCAGATTTCAGCATCAGAAACGATTTCAGCTGCAACATAAGACACTGCATATAGCAAGCCGGACTAAGGACTGTATAAATGAGAATTGTATGACTGAATATATTGATAACGAAAGCAAATTTTTAACTCATTCTTCTCGAAGACCTCCAACAAAGAGTAAAAAGCCAAATAGGATTATGAACAATATGACAAGCAGTGGACACAGGAACATGGCTGGATTAATGGTCAGTCATGGCGCTGAGATGTCAGAACACGGTGCCAAGCCGCGATGCACGACCAACACTCGCGAGCGTGACCGGACTCAGAGTGTGAACACAGCTTTCGTAACACTACGGACACTAATACCCACAGGTGAGAGCTTCAGTGTACTCAGTGTCAGGTTTATGAATATGAATTGTCCAGGACAGCCATGTTTTAGCGAGAGAGAGAGAGAGAGAGAGAGAGAGAGAGAGAGAGAGAGAGAGAGAGAGAGAGAGAGAGAGAGAGAGAGAGAGAGAGAGAGAGAGAGAGAGAGAGAGAGAGAGAGAGAGAGAACGAACAAACTAACGAACGAAAAATCAAACTTTATTTTCAAAGGTTTACAAACTGTGCACCCAGGCCTGTCTGACATTCTGCCCTTCTAAGCACTCATTTTTCAGAGTACCAATACCTGTTATCAATAATGCATGTTATGGATATAATAAAGAAACATGCATTATAGAATAATGCATACACACATCATGTGTACGCAATCTTACACACTCACACACATGTATATATACTCTTACATCCTCATACATGCACATTCATATACAGACATACCTAATACATACATACACGCATCTACATACATACATACACAAAGAGAAAAGACACGCACATACACATATTCACATACATGCACACATACATTCATTCCATACATACACACCTACACATGCATGCATGTATACACACACATACAATCACATGTACAGACACCCACATATGCCCACAACCACACATTTACACTCACATGCATACATACAAACATACAAACACATAAATGCATACATACACACATCTATACATACACCCACATCTTTTCACACATACATACATACATACATACATACTTGCATACATACCTAAATATATAAATATATATATATATATATATATATATATATATATATATATATATATATATATATATTAGGGCTGTACCGAATATTCGCTTCGTATTCGCTTCGGGGCCGAATAGTGGACCCAATAACTATTCGGTATTCGGCCGAATAGTTGCGGTCGGGCCGAATACGAATCGTGGTTACCTCACAACCGTTTCTGGACTAGTGGAAAAAAAACATCAAGACTTCCCACCTTGGTTTATACTGTGAAGCGTTATCTTTGTGCACCACCTACGAGCGTACCAAGTGCCCCTTTATTTCCATCTTGCATGTGTTGCGAGTAAAGTGTTTTTATGTGTGTTGCTGTAGAAACAAAATGCAACACTTAAAAATGTAAGAGGGGCAGAAAAGCAAGTGTTCTAGTGTTGTCGGCTTGATTTCTTTGAGTGGAGTGTCCTCTTCGTTGATTCTTTGAAGTAACGGGAGTTTGTCATCATTTATGGGTGTCGTATCTGTTCTTTCGTCGTCTCGTGGAAACGGCAGCGGCTGAATGTTTTGATCGACGTACGGTTTCTTGATTGTCTTTGTTGTTTGATCTTCTGGCGTCGGCCGCCCGGCGTCTGGTTTCGCTAGCTCGCGGGGCGCTGGGCGACTTGTAAGGACGGCATTGTTTTCTTCGTCGGCGTTATTTTTGTTTTTGATGTTTCGCCGGGTTTTCATTTTGACTCTCTGTATTTGTCGTATTTTCCTGTTTAATACAGCTGAAAATACCTTCAGTGAGACAAAAATCTAGCCTAATGCTGAAAACATGGAACGAAGGTTTTTCATGGAGGTGTGTCAGCACACGAACTAATACGTGCTGCAGGAGATCGCAGATTGTGGCGAGGCATAATCGCCCATGCCAGCCGGCAAAGCACATGATGATGATGATTCACTATTCGTATTCGTATTCGACCGAATAGTTGGTGCAGCTATTCGTATTCGGCCGAATAGTGAAAATCACTATTCGGTACAGCCCTAATATATATATATATATATATATACATACATAGAGAGAGAGAGAGAGAGAAAGAGAGAGAGAGAGAGAGAGAGAGAGAGAGAGAGAGAGAGAGAGAGAGAGAGAGAGAGAGAGAGAGAGAAATAGACTAAATAACACAATGAAGTTATAGTAGTTGAACCAATAATATGCTGAATGTTCATCTGTATTCAAATTGTAGCATATAGTAACGACTATTGTATAATTTATGTTATCATGTCTTTCAGATAATGTTGATTTTTAAATTTGTCTACCAGTTTTCTTTATAGACAATACATCACCTCTTTTCCCTGGGGTACTAGAATGATTAATGTTCCACTTTGCAATATTATTCACCTCTTTCGAAATTTATTTTACTGTGAAAATTGTTTGACTTTGTCCACGTTTTAGGATATCTTATTTGTTTTCAGTTATTCTTCTCACATAGTCCGGTGGTACCCTTAGTATTTTTCTTTTCTTTTCAGTTCAGGAACTTTTGGTGTATTTTTTAAAAATCTTTTCTCGCAGCATTTAGTAATTTGTGTTAATACCTTTCAGTCATTATTTGTCTATTCTTTATATATATATATATATATATATATATTATATATATATATATATATATATATATATATATATATATATATATATATATATATATTTTTCTTAACATAGCAAAAACAAAGATAATGCATACAAACAAAACTGCCATGGAGAAGGAAATATATGTTAATGAGGAAAGATTGGAAGTGGTGGAAAATTTGGAATATCTTGGGTCACTGGTTACCAACAATGGTGACACAATGAAAGAAATTAAACGGCGACTATCAATTGCTCTTCAAAGACTAAAACAACTGAATAAATTATTGAATTGTGCAGATAGAATTACAAAGGTCAGATTTTTAAGAGCATGCATCTTTCCCATTGCAACATACGCCTGTGAGACCTGGACACTTACTAAACAAGCGGAACAGCGCATAAATGCATTTGAATATAAATGTTACAGACAGGTTCTAAGAATATCTTGGGTAAAGAAAAGAACAAATGCATCCATACTTCAAGAGCTGAATATTGAAGAGGGTTGGCTAGTAAAGACAATAAAACAAAGAACATTGAAATATTTTGGTCACTTGAAACGTCATGGAAGTCTAGAGAGAACAATAATGGAGGGGTATATGCCTGGGAAGAAAGGAAGAGGAAGGCCAAGGAGAAGATGGGTGCAGGATGTGGCAGATGATCTCCAGATGGGTGTATCAGACGCAGGACATCTTGCTCAGGATAGGAAGGTTTTCCGGAGGGTTGTTATGGCAGCGAGGTTCCGCGAGGGACATGCTACTGAATGAATGAATGAATATATATATATATATATATATATATATATATATATATATATATATATATATAAGGGCTGTACCAGAGGACACAGTCCTCCTTTCAAACAGCGTAAAGGGAATAGACGATTTAATATTGTCTGTCCAAAAGCACAGTGAAGATCAAAATCTTTTCTTGAATTTAATGAAAACGGAAATAATGTCCACAGATAAAACTGGCTGTCACCCAAAATTAACAATAAATGAAGAAGAAATTGAAAATGTCACACACTTTGAATATTTAGGCTCTATAATAAACAACAATGGAGACTGTTCGGCAGAAATTAAAAGGAGGATGACCATAGCAATGCAAAGATTGAACAGCCTTAAAAGTCTATGGTTAAGCACCAGTAAGGAGATAAAAATTAGAATTTTGAGAGCATGCATCTTCCCTGTGGCTACATACGGATGTGAGTCGTGGACTATCTCTCAGTCCTTAAGAAACTGTTAGCTCTCATGATGTCAGTGATCAATGGTGATTTAAACAGATTATGTGTTATGTTGTTGCTTTTCACTCTCCATTCCCCGCTGTTAGCATCTTTGATTGGTCCAAAGATTTGTCGTAAGACTGTTTTCGAAAACCTGTAATATGGCCTCATCTTTTTTTATTTCTGCTTCAAGTTTCAGAGTCATAAAAAACGACTGGTCTTATGAAATTTTATATATTTTGATCTTGATGTTGCTAGACAGACGCTTTGACTTTAGCAGATGTTGAAGGGCATAGTATACTTTATTTCTAGATTGTATTCTAGATTGTATTTCTTCTCTCGGCATGTTGGAGCAGTTGAAGTTTGCACCCAAGTACTTATGTTTCCGTTCGTTTGATTTTCATATTATCAACTTGGATGTGGCCGGAGTTTATATTCTTACCCTGTCTAGTTAGTATTCGTACAGAATAGTAAACATTTATAAACATTTTATGTTTTGCATCCTTCAATCAGTCTGTGGTAACTAATAACTGGGAATAAAAGAATCCTAAGTATTATAACAAGTAACTAAACTTGGAAATTGTCACTGAAAGCTTAGTTAATGCATGAAAGCTGCATTAGCTTTCAACAAAACCAATCGTTCCATGTTGTCAGTATTTAGGCCGTGTATGCAGAAGCGGGTGTAAGGTAACTACTATTCGTATTCGGCCGAACCGCAACTATTCGGCCGAACACCGAATATTCAATAGGTCCACCATTCGACCCCGAAGCGAATACGAAGCGAATATTCGGTACAGCCCTAATATATATATATATATATATATATATATATATATATATATATATATATATATATATATATATATATATATATATTGTTTTTTCAATATACAGTGAATATATAATGAGATCTTAAATTGATTTGCCCGGAATTGGGGTTTGTGGGCACAATATAAACAATTTACGTTATGCTGATGACACAGTCTTGACAGCAACAAGTCAGAAAGAACTACTGGAAATGATAGACATTGTGGTGGTAGAAAGTGGAAGAATGGGCCTCAGTTTGAATATTGGGAAGACAGAAGTAAATGTGGTTTCAAAGAAACGAATTATTTTTATGTGTAATAAAAGTCGATGGTGTTATTTTAGGAGAAGTACTTACATTTAAGTATCTGGGCACATGGATAACATCAGATGGAAGATGCATAGCAGAGATAAGAAACAGAATAGGACAGGAAAAAACTGCATTTGATAAAATAAAAAACATCTTGTGCAATATATCCTTGTCATTCAGAGTTAGAAAAAGAATTCCTGCTTGTTACATATATCTAGTTTTAACATATGGCTGTGAATCCTGGACAATCGGTAGGCAGGCCAAACAATTTCTAGAAGCCTCAGAGATGTAGTTATACAGAGGAATGCTTAGAATACCTTGGACAGCCAAAAAGAGCAACCAAGAGATTTTGAAAGAGGCGGGAGCAAAATGACAACTTATCACAGGCATCAGAAGGAGACAGTCATCATTTTTCGGCCATGTTATGAGAAGAGGGAAAATAGAACATGTTTTGACCACTGGAAAAATATGTGGAAGGAGAGATAGAGGAAGACAACGAGAGAAGATGCTTGACAGTCTTGTTGCATGGCATGGAGGTGTGTCGGCACACGAACTGATACATGCTGCAGGAGATCGCAGATTATGTAGAGGCATGATCGCCCACGCCAGTCGGCAAGGCACCTGATGATGATGATGATGATGATATATATATATATATATATATATATATATATATATATATATATATATATATATATATATATATATATATATATTGTTCATCTGATGTAATTTTTGTCTCATATCTACATTAAAAATTTTATTTTTATTTTTACGTATTGTCTTTCTCTGTTATCTTCTCCTCGGGCATTTGATTCCTTGAAACCAGTTGTAGAGTTCATACAGATTACTGTATAATGCAAACTGCCTTTTAAGCATTTAGTGACAAGCTCACTGCTGTAATTAATTTCACATCATGCTTGTTTTTTGTTTTGTTTTGTTTTTTGAATTTTTTAATTAAAGCTATACCTTTTATGATAAAATTATATTTTGTCCACCTCATTATTGTGCAATTACATTACCAGCCGATCAAATAGAACTCAGCCCCGTCCAGCACTTTCTGTTTAATTCATCAATTATTCTTAAGCATTGACAGTAAGCGTTAACTCTTTCACTCCTCCATGTTCTCAGCAGCGCGGACAATTCTAGACAAATTGTACCTTGTTGACTGGTTAATGATAATGGCTCATTGATCAGTCTATTACTGTTAATGTCCACTATCTTCGTTTTCTCCATTTGCCTGTGGTCATTCTGCCAACGATCACTCCCAAGATGACTTGTATAGGCTACTTTGTATCTACTCATTTCTTACCTCATTCAGCTGCATGATATAGTTTTTACCCTTCTGTCCTAAGAGGTACTTATTTTAGGCACTCCATTACCGTTCTGCTTGTTGCTTGGATTTGTTGTGTCATTCTGACGTGTCGTCTTCACCCATGCGATTTCTCATTTATCTTCTTCCTAAACTAAGTCCCAGGTAATATCCCTAGAAGTAAAGGCGGGCCTTGTGATGTTGACCTCATCAACCGTGCAGTGCCATTAGTCTACAAAACATAGGTCTAGTACTATATGCCTGATACACAGAGAGACACAAAATTCACATAAACGAGTTGAATAACCGTAGATTACAAGGCTCACACACACACACACACACACACACACAAACACTCTCACACACAAACACACACAAACACACACACGGTGGAGAGTTAAGATCCAGCAGATCTAAAAACACTCTAGTGACAAACTAAAAAGAGAGAGAGAGCTATTCAACTCCTACTGTGCACTGTGAACATGAAGACACTGTGACGGCTGCTGCAGCAGAGGTTGGAACGAGAATGGCTGGGACCCAGGTGCCAGGATGTCGATACAAGCAACAAATAACAATCACAGAGATGATTGGAGACCAATGATATCTGCAGCAATCAACCTCAACGGCTCAGAATACAAAAAGAAAAAGAACTATTTGTGTGAGCCCATAAAAGTGTGTAAAAGATGCGTTACTTTATAATTTTTTTTTATATATATATTTGTTATCTGAATTGTTTATTCTTTAGATTTATTTTATTTCTAAATGAGCTGTCTATTTTTTAATATTAACTTGTCTTCATATGCGTCGATTTAAGGACCGTTGAACCTTGATTATCCGTCTCATGATTATCCAGACTCCGTATTATCTGGCCTAGTTTAAAAATAAAAATTCACAGTGATGAAATAAGGAATAATTTACTTTTTTGTTTTTCAGCAGTTACAGATAGAGTGGATAAATTTCGATTTAAAATGTGCGGAAAGTATTTATTTTTTGGACTTCCTTTTTTCCGTAGTAAATGTGACAGTAATGTCAGTCAGAAACATTAATAAAGTACTGGCCTGTACTAAGAAGTCAGTAAATATCAACCAGAGCAGGTTTTAGTGTATACAAATTATGGGAGGGGAAAAGGGGAGGGGGGGGGGAGAGTAGAAAACTTAGTATTTATAGAATACTGGCATATCCGGCCTTTTGTTATTCTGTCTATTCTTCCTCCACATTAGGTCGGACATTGGTGAGTCTACTGTATTTATAATTTTTTTCTCCAGAGTCAGAATACTTATATATATATATATATATATATATATATATATATATATATATATATATATATATATATATATATATATATATATAGAGAGAGAGAGAGAGAGAGAGAGAGAGAGAGCATAAAGAGTAAAAACTGATATTTCTCCAGAGCCTGCGGACCGTAAACTGTCAAAGATCGAGACGCTGCGTTTGGCAGCCAGCTACATCGCCCACCTGAGCACCGTGCTGCTGGTTGGAGCCGAGTGTTCCCAACAACCTTGCATCAGACACCAAGCCATTGCCAGGGGACATCTGGCGCTCGACACGCCACAGCCTGTGTGCACATTTTGCATGAGCGCTGCCAAGCACAAACTGGTGGGTCATTAACGTCGCCTTCGTTCTCTGACATTTATTGTTTCTATAGCTGATTTCGTGTGATGTTGATAACCACGAATGCTTGTAGCCTTCTGTCTTGTGCGTTGTTCATAATATGTAATACATATGTTTCCCCATGCCATGATGGCAAATTGTCCAACATCCTATGTCTTGGCATGTCTTTGTTGCGACCTGCTCCTATTCCCCTTTCTTATGACGCGATCAGAGAATATCGCCAAAAATCTTCTCGTGTGGATACGTTCTCTTAGTGAGTTAATTTCTTTCAAAACAACTACGCAATACAGAAGAGAAAAAAAAGCCCTAGAACTGATGAGTCATATCATGAAGATGTTGCTTACAAGCATCACGCAATGCCTTGTAAAGAACATTGACAAAAATGTTAAGAAATTATAACGAGGCTTATAGAAGAAAGATATGTTAACACTTGCTGTGCTTTTGACTAGAGCATTGGTCATGAGCAATTATAGATCTATATCTTTGCGTTATTGACTGCTCAAAGCCTTTCGATGGAGCAGGATATATTATAAAAAGCAATATGTGTCATCATCGACCAATTAGGAGATTGTGTATGTCAGGTATATGTCATTTATGTTTTCAAAACTTCGTCATATCCAGTTTAAGTCGTGCTAGGGTATACAAATGACTGCAACCAAATAAACAGGCCATAATTTCCCAAATCACTGCGTCAGTTCAGGGGCCCCAGTTTTTTAGCCGAAAAAATAAAGAAAAGATTGACTTTCCTTTAAAAAAGAAAGTTGTGAAAGGCGATTAACTGAGATTTTACTGAAATTGAATGTGTTGGGCCGAAATAGCCGATACCGCAGCCTAACTTTAAACCACAACACATTGGGCTAACCACCATTTTAAGAGCTAAGGGAAATAAAAAGAAGAAACAAATTTTGCCAGAAATTCATAATACTATTTTGTTCTGGATGACCATAGGGCCTGGTCAATTAGTGAAAAGCTCGCCTAGATATGGATTCAAACATGTGACCAGGAAACAACAAATTACAAAGCTACTGCGCTGCCATGTTGTAAACATCCTCACAAGTCTCCACGACCTAATCATAAAATGTTTCTCTCTCAAAAACCCACACTCAGTTTTCAGGAGAGCACACACGAAGTCACAGAGCCTGGAGTTCAGTCAGCGAAGTTAGAGAACTTTCAGTGACCCCGAACAAATGTGTCCGAGACCTGACGATCGGTATCTCAGCGCCGTTTCTGGCGCTCATCCATTACGCTAGGGAATTCCCACTCTGTCATTCACGTCGTGTAAAAATCCCTTTGAAATCTGAAGCAGACTGACTGAAGGCCTTTCATGGAGAACCTGGCTAGAAATAAATAAACGGTTCTTGAAAACTACTTGGAAAAAAAAAAAAATAATTGCTAGCTGTTTTTCACATGTTCAGTCCTAGGCGAGAAAATGGTTTAAAAAAAAATGTTAAGCATATATGAACAGTTAGGCATCATCATCATCATTTGTCATGCCAACAGACACAGTTGGACTTCTCCCACTATAACCTTTAGAGACGACAGGGCCTATCTGTCCGCTATGACGAAACAGGTCTGTGTTTATGTGTCCACCCATGCCTTGTGGTCAGGCCATCCGAGTACGATTCTTGTTTGTCTTCCCAATATGGAGCCGCGATAGCAAGGTGGTTAAACACCTGTCTGTCGGCCCAAAGATATTGGGTTCAGACCCGCAGAGGAACAGATTTGTTTCAAGATTTAAACATGGTTCTCATTTGACCCATCCTCAAATATGCACTAGGTAATGTCTGATGTTGACATCTCCCCCCGAGTGCCGATTTGTTCAACTAAATTTAGGCCAGCGCCTAAAGCGTAGAAATGTCCTTTGCTTTATCTTAACCTTAGCTTATTTTACTTCACATCAGGTAACTTCACTCACTGCACTTTACTTTAGTGAACTTTACTTTATTGCACTTTACTGCACTTTACTGAGCTTTAGTTTACGTTGCTGCACATTTTTTTGACTTTACTGCACTTTATTTTACATTACTTTACTACCTTTTACTTTAGTTTACTAAACTTTACATTACTTTACTGGACCTGTTCTTTTTAACTGTATTGCACTTTATTTTACTTGCGTGAATGCACTTTATTTCACTTAACTGCACGTTACTTAACTGCATTTTACGTTAGTTCACTTTACTTTGCTGAACTTTTAAATATTTAAGTGCACTTCACTTTACTGCACTTCACTTCACTTTACTGCAATTTTCTTTTCTGCACTTTACGTTACTGCACTTTTCTTTACTGCACTTTACTTTACTGCACTTTACTTTACTGCACTAAGGGTTAGAAGGCTGGACTCTTAAGTGTGAGATCCAAGTTCGAATTCTTGTTAATTTTGAGGATTTTTTTCTGTCGAGAACAGAAACGAATCCTCACCTGCACAGTCGTGGCAACATCACTAGCCATGCGGCCGTCAATCCTCAGGCTCAAAGACCCCCTACCTACACCGCAGTAGTGGTCAATTAAAGGTAGTTATTGGCAGTTTTGACTTTACTGCAGTTCGTATTACTTTACTGCACTTTACTTTACTGTTGCTTTACTTTAGTTTACTTCATATTTTCCCTCAAATTTACCAGCCGTCACTAACCATAATATAACTAATAATATGTCAAAAGAATCTCGATAGTCTATTTTTTTTTTTGCAATAATTTAATTATTTTCATTTGCTGCTTACAAGAATGCCTTGTTTATATTTCTCTACTACTAAGGTACTGTGTGAATTTTCTTCAGATACCACAGGTTATTACGTATTTACAATGTGTAGCCTAGTGATAGACACGAAATTTCGGGTAGGTATATAATCTAACACAAGACGTGAGGTTGGGTGGCTAGTTCTTTGTGTAGCCATCCTTTACGAATTCGTTTTCAACAACATACGGAGCCAATTTAGCGAGAAAATCTAACACAAGACGTGAGGTTGGGTGGCTAGTTCTTCGTGTAGCCATCCTTTACGAATTTGTTTTGAACATCATATGGAGCCAATTTAGCGAGAAAATCTAACAGAAGACGCGAGGTTGGGTGGCTAGTTCTTCGTGTAGCCATCCTTTACGAATTCGTTTTCAACATCATACGGAGCCAATTTAGCGAGAAAATCTAACACAAGACGTGAGGTTGGATGGCTAGTTCTTCTTGTAGCCATCCTTTACGAACTTGTTTTCAACATCATCCGGAGCCAATTTAGCGAGAAAATCTAACACAAGACGTGAGGTTGGATGGCTAGTTCTTCTTGTAGCCATCCTTTACGAATTCGTTTTCAACATCATACGGAGCCAATTTAGCGAGAAAATCTAACACAAGACGTGAGGTTGGATGGCTAGTTCTTCGTGTAGCCATCCTTTACAAATTTGTTTTCAACATCATCCGGAGCCAATTTAGCGAGAACCCTTTGCATGCCCTAATATTCATCAGGTATGTGATGCAAGGATCGGCTCTGTGGCTAAGTCGATGTGAACGCTTCGCAATGCCCGGATGCCGGGTTCGATTTCAGCTGCGGCCTATGCGCCTTGCGGTGGTTTCGACAGTGGTATTAAGAAAGCCGACCTTCCAGAAAGCAATGACAAACTACTAGACGTAAATTTGTCTAGAAAAACCACACAACAGCCAGCTGTTGTTGGGCTTGGTTCTGCAACGTCCTGTAAAGGATACGCAACAACCTAATGTGATGCAAGGTCCTTATTTATAAACACTAATCGACAACTTATCACAGACATCAGAAGGAGATTGTCATCATTTTCCGGCCTTGTTACGAGAAGAGGGAAACTATAACATGTGACCACTGGAAAGATCTGTGGAAGGAGCGATGGAGGAAGACATATATATATATATATATATATATATATATATATATATATATATATATATATATACTGGCTAATGAACGGCATCCTTTCTCGAAAGCTGAAATGTTTTGGATATATCAAGCGCCACGACAATTTGGAAAACATTATAGCAGAAGGCATGGTACCAGGAAGGAGGGGCAGGGGCCAACCGACACGAAAATGGGCACAGGATATAAGTGACGCCTTGAGTGTGAAAGTGCATGAGGCGGGAGAACTGGCGAGAGACCGAGTTTCTTTCAGGCACACTGTGATAAGAGCGACATTCTGCAAAGGACCTGCTACATGATGATGATGTCTTTGGTTTTAATTGCCGTCAAGACAAGGATTCTCTGCGTTGATCTTCCGACTCTCCTGTGTTGTGATCCTGCCAAGTTCTTCTAATGATCTCTTGATGTGAATTTGTGTCCTGTTATGGGTTTTGTTTTTAAAATAAGCATAATGAGAGAACCCACTCGGCTTCCATAGCATACACACACAAGAAAAGGCCGAATAATTTGAAAGCGCAACATAGAGATACAATGGTGTGTGTATATGGGGGGGGGGGGGGTGGATTGTGACATTATGACCCATTTTGAGCATCCTCAAATTGCTTTGTTGATTACACTTGTCAGTGTTTGTCCGCAGAGTGTAATAATAGGGCAAGACTATCTGTATCCTGTGTTAGATGTCAATTAGTTAGAAAACAAAGTGTAGGTAAGCTTTTTCAATTACCAATAAACAACTTTAGGGCGACAAGTTTTTATAGGTATGGATTACAGTTTCAAGAAACTTTGCTCATTGTAATTTTGTAAGACTTGCTCTGACTTTCTGTATTTCAAATTGTTCCCATTTCACAGCTTTAAGAAACAAAACTTATTTCATATGTGAATGTAGTGTGTTTTATCCTCATCAGACACATCTAGATTTAAAGCAGCACTACCGAGTTCGTGTATTGTTCTTTTATAATCTGTGGCGAATACAATGGATCAAGAAAAGAAAAAAAAACGCAAATTGTTTAAACTGTATCCTCCAACTCGTATTGCTGCTTTCTCTTTAATTTCCCTCAAAATTATTTCACTATATAGAGAGAAAATGTCTGGGAATAAGGCACATTCCTGTCCTAATCCTTGCTTTATCTGTTCAGAAGTACCCAATCTGTTTCCCACTTTAAATTGCTGCTACTTATTTCCAGTAAATATTTTTAATTATTCTGAGATCTTTTCCGTATTCATTGCTGTCTTCCAACATTTTTATTATCTCATCATGTTTAAATTTGTCAAATGCTTTGGTAAAATTTATAATGCACAAATATCTGTTGTGTGTCTACTGATCTTTCTTTCAGTGTTCGTAATATGTATATTGCATTACTTGTCTCTTTACCTTCCAAAAATCCATACTGCTTTTCACTCATTTCCATCCTTATTTTTTGTCTTGTTATTCTCATTATAATTGTAAGTAGTAATTTGGTGACATGATTTATTAAGTTGATTGTACGAAAATTTTCACACTCAATTGCTCCTGGTCTTTTGGGTAACGCAATAAATGCAGATTTCATCATTAGCACTTGGTATGTACCCAGTGAACATCATGAATGTCATTGATCAGATTAGTTCCAGTACTTCTAATTCGTCTACTGAAATCTCATCTAGCTCTGCTGACTTTCCTTTCTTCATATGTTTGATAGCATCGCTAACTTCTTCCTTTATTAGTCGCTTTTTAACTGTCACCTAGTCACCTCCTTGTAGGATGCAATTTTTTTTTTTCAAGCCTCTCTCTGGCTCTTGCACGGCCATAAATTTGGCTAACGGCTGAACGCGGTTTCTGGGACCTCTCCACGGGTGATCCTCATCCACATGGTGGCACTTTGTGTCACCGGATGTTCATCGTTTGTGTGATGTCCTAGTGGGGTAAAACTACTACTACTATTTCTTCCTTTAGTAGATGGATACAGGCCATTCAAGATGCACTGGCATTGAAGGCACATGAGGCTGGGGTCCATCCATCTATTTATGTAAAACAAAACACAAAAATCGACCACGTTCAACCTACTGCGAGCAGTAAAGGTTATAACTGTAGTCTGGTTTCTTTGTGCCAGTTATGTTGGCTTAATGTCAGTTGCACCAAAACTAGTGGCTTGAAGCGGCACTCTTGTACCTAGTGAGGGCTGCTGGGAAGGGGGCTGGCTATATACAACCACACATATATAATAAACATGTTTTCAGGCCCATGTGTGAATATACGCATACGCGTTAGCATAAACACCCATGGATATATACATACATATGCACACGTCTAAGCGGAAATCCATGTACACACATACATATGCCATCGTGCAGCGGCCACACACTCGCCTGTGGATCAGAAAGCGATGGGTTCAGATCCTGACGTAGCCGGTCACCAGTCTGGGTCTTTTGCATTGTACACGTGACACCTTCTCAATATCTACTACTATAAGGAGATAGTTAGCCAGTCTTGGTTAGTTGAAGTTGTTTCACACAATTTCATTATTTCTTCTTTATTATTCTCCCTCCTCAGTTCCGTTTTATCACCTCTCCGTCTCTGTCTGTCATATCTTTATTTATAGAGACATATATTTTTACGTATCCTGCAAATGAATTTCTTTATTTCTTCTGTATGTTTTCATTGCTGTCAACATGTAAGCATTCCTTAGATGTCAATGACTTAATTAGTTTTTGAAGTCTTCCAAGGGGTTTATTTCCTGTTTATGCAGGGTGCATATTAGTAGGAGGTGTCTATTGTGTTTTCCGGAAAGCAGTCTAAGAACAAGGTGCTGTAAATTTGTTTGTTTTTTTAGTAGCGAAGTCATAATCTCAATAATTTGTTATTTGCTGGAATTTTTAGGTTGTCTGTGACTTGTGATTGTAAAAAATATTTGCACACCTTCCTAGTAGCACTCATTTCCCACTGTCTCTTCCACGTTCCTGTAATATACCGCTTGGTATTACTCTTCGCTACGGATTTTCCAAGGCCTGTTTCTATTTTGGCTGCTGGTACCTCTTTTTGCAAAAAAAAACAAAAAAATCTGGCTTTTCATTACCAGCTATGCCTTTATGCGCTGGAACCCATGCTATGGTGATCTGTCATCCGTTGTTCCTAGGTTATGTGGTTAGTGTAAATATTTCGTCTTTTATGTCTGATCTACTTCCCTGTGTATAGTTTCCTAGTGATTGTACCGACCAAAGATAATCTGTCATTATTGTCATTTTCGGAAAGGGGGTGGGTGGGAGAAGGGAGGGGGGGGGGGGTGCTTTTCTGCTGCTATCTCTAAGGTTTTCATTATGCCGACTAGTTCGGCTGTGAAAACTGACGTATGATCTGTGATTTTTATAAAATTTTCGTATTTCCCATAAGGAATATGAACACTTACTCCTAATTCTCCTTTCTCATTTTCTCATTCGATTAAAGTGTTCTTGCTAGTTCTTCTGATGATGATAATGACTTTTTACCACAGCAGGACATCATATTGAGCGATAAACACCCGGTGACTCAAAGTGCCACCATTGGGATGAGGATCACTCGTGAAGAGGTCCCAGAAACCTCGTTCAACAGCTAGCTAGGAAAAGGGATAGTTTCAGGTGTGCCACGACGGGAGCGACGTTCTGTAAACGACTTGCTGAGTGATGAATGGCGAGAACGAGCATTTTTTTCAGCAAATTTGGAAAGTATAATTGGTGAGGAGGAAAAAATTATCCCAGGAAAAACAAAATTCAATTTTTCCTTAAAATATTGGTTTGAAGCAGACTCCGAAAATAAAACAAAGGACTTGTTGCTAAATGGGATACCAGCAACTTGTTTTGCTATTTGAGTATTATTATCAGTCAGCATGTCCTTAACAGGACATCGCTCTCGTCACGGCAAACATGAAAGTATTCCTTTCCCTGCCAGCTCGCCAGCCCCATGCGCTTTCATTTATAAAGCATCTTCAATGTCCTGTATCCATACACGCGGTGGTCGACCACTGCTTTGCCTTCCACAAACTGCACCCTCCAACACCGTCTGTTCCAAGCCACCATGACGTTATTTGAGTGTATTTGGGGATAAACGAATACGAATTTTTTAGGACACATCATTATAGAATAATTATTTGGGCTTTTCCACACAGTATAGAATAATTGTTTATCTGGTTAATTAATTTACGATCAGGTTGTTTCATTGTTTAAATTAGTTGATTTGTGTATGTGCTGATAAAGACTTCATAGCCGCAACGTTCCCGTTTTGTTTGCATTTGTTATAATGTAAAGCTTGGTAACATACTTTTCGTTCAGTTTTAAATTTTGTCTTGATTTTTATTGTTGAAACGACTGGCACACCAGGCAAGGGAGGCAAACAGTGTTGCTATAAACGGATGAATAATATATTGATGCCTTCCCTTGCTAATCAAAAACAAAGGGGAACAACAGTCCCCTCCATCAGCTGTTGAGGTTATGAGTAGCGCACAGGTAACGACTACACTAACGAAATATCCGTCTCTGTGTGATGCGCACGTTTTCGTTTTTGTTTGAAGCCCACCCAGGCTGTTGCCGGGGGCCCTTGAAAAACCCAACCTATGGATTAAACAGGGTTTCTGGTACCTGTCCCCGTGTGATCCTCATCGGAATGGTAGCACTTTGTGTCATCAGGTGTTTATTGCTCTGGTGGGGTGAAACGTCAGTCAGTTTACTGCACTAAGTGTTATCCTGGTGTCTCCTGCTATCCTGGTAAGGAAACCCAAAGTAACTACACTCATCGTCAAATGAAAAGTCGCCAGTAATGTCGTATACTTGGACTTCGATGCCAGAACGACATGCCTGAACAGTCTTCCTCCCTAGTTATAGTAATAGTTGACATCTGAAACTAACAGTTAGCTCAACGTTTAGTATCTAGTCGGTACAAATACGCCCTGAACATGCTGCTCCCAGCTTGCATGTATTTACACAATACTTCCAGGCCAATCCGCTCATTACTTTTTTTTTTTAATTCTTGGAACCAGTATAAGTTTTCATTTAATGTAATATGATAAAGTAGTTCTACCTCTCTTCTGGAAAGTTCATCACCAGACAGACGTCACATTCAATACTCAGCTTCTGTGAGATTTCTTCAATACTCATTTAATCATTCATTCATTCATTCATTCAGTAGCATGTCCCTCGCGGAACCTCGCTGCCATAACAACCCTCCGGAAAACCTTCCTATCATGAGCAAGATGTCCTGCGTCTGATACACCCATCTGGAGATCATCTGCCACATCCTGCACCCATCTTCTCCTTGGCCTTCCTCTTCCTCTCTTCCCAGGCATATACCCCTCCATTATTGTTCTCTCTAGACCTCCATGACGTTTCAAGTGACCAAAATATTTCAATTTTCTTTGTTTTATTGTCTTTACTAGCCAACCCTCTTCAATATTCAGCTCTTGAAGTATGGATGCATTTGTTCTTTTCTTTACCCAAGATATTCTTAGAACCTGTCTGTAACATTTATATTCAATGCATTTATGCGCTGTTCCGCTTGTTTAGTAAGTGTCCAGGTCTCACAGGCGTATGTTGCAATGGGAAAGATGCATGCTCTTAAAAATCTGACCTTTGTAATTCTATCTGTACAATTCCATAATTATTCAGTTGTTTTAGTCTTTGAAGAGCAATTGATAGTCGCCGTTTAATTTCTTTCATTGTGTCACCATTGTTGGTAACCAGTGACCCAAGATATTCGAAATTTTCCACCACTTCCAATCTTTCCTCATTAACATATATTTCCTTCTCCATGGCAGTTTTGTTTGTATGCATTATCTTTGTTTTAATCATTAATTAAATAAATTATGATGCAATTTTAAGAGACTGAATGACTAATGATTTAATGAGTTCTGTGAATGCGGTCTTTATGAGTTTTGTGTGCGAATACAGTTATATTGATGTTAATTTTAATTATTACATATTTCCTGATAGTTTATGTTATATTAGATGATTTCAACATTAGACATTAATAAATTATTGGTGTAATGGTTGGTGGTGTAATGACTGATGGTGTTATGTTCGGCGGTGTAATGACTGATGGTGTTATGTTCGGTGGTGTAATGACTGATGGTGTTATGTTCGGTGGTGTAATGACTGATGGTGTCATGTTCGGTGGTGTAATGACTGATGGTGTTATGTTCGATGGTGTAATGACTGATGGTGTCATGTTCTGTGGTGTAATGACCGATGGTGTTATGTTCGGTGGTGTAATGACTGATGGTGTCATGTTCGGTGGTGTAATGACTGATGGTGTCATGTTCGGTGGTGTAATGACTGATGGTATCATGTTCGGTGTTGTAATGACTGATGGTGTTATGTTCGGTGGTGTAATGGCTGATGGTGTTATGTTCGGTGGTGTAATGACTGATGGTGTTATGTTCGGTGGTGTAATGACTGATGGTGTCATGTTCGGTGTTGTAATGACTGATGGTGTTATGTTCGGTGGTGTAATGAATGATGGTGTTATGTTCGGTGGTGTAATGACTGATGGTGTTATGTTCGGTGGTGTAATGACTGATGGTGTCATGTTCGGTGGTGTAATGACTGATTGTGTCATGTTCGGTGGTGTAATGACTGATTGTGTCATGTTCGGTGGTGAAATGACTGATGGTGTCATGTTCGGTGGTGTAATGACTGATGGTGTTATGTTCGGTGGTGTAATGACTGATGGTGTTATGTTCGGTGGTGTAATAACTGATGGTGTCATGTTCGGTGTTGTAATGACTGATGGTGTTATGTTCGGTGGTGTAATGAATGATGGTGTTATGTTCGGTGGTGTAATGACTGATGGTGTTATGTTCGGTGGTGTAATGACTGATGGTGTCATGTTCGGTTATGTAATGACTGATTGTGTCATGTTCGGTGGTGTAATGACTGATGGTGTCATGTTCGGTGGTGTAATGACTGATGGTGTCATGTTCGGTGGTGTAATGACTGATGGTGTTATGTTCGGTGGTGTAATGACTGATTGTGTCATGTTCGGTGGTGTAATGACTGATGGTGTCATGTTCGGTGGTGTAATGACTGATGGTGTCATGTTCGGTGGTGTAATGACTGATGGTGTTATGTTCGGTGGTGTAATGACTGACTGTTTATTCGTTGTATACTAGTTGGTAATTTAACGACGGTTGGTTTTACGATTGAAGATGTAATGATTTAGTGGAGTTATGGATAGCGATGCCACGATTAGATTTGTCTTAATATCAAGGGGATGAGTTAGGGAGCATTGCCCCTACAATTTACTGAATCCCCCACCCACTCAAGACTGTCATGTTCATTTGCAAATACTTCGTGCAGCCGGATGGGTATCGTAATTATAGATTAATAGGAAGCTGAAGGGATCATCTGGGTGTTGTCTTTTGGACTGACATCCAGGAAGCAGGGCATCGAGTCGCCTCTATATTAAACCTTAATGGACATCAAGCAGAAGGCAAGTCAGTCAGTGTTCAACATGGTCTGTCATTTGTGAATAAGATCACAGATTTATCTTCTCTTATTCCCCACAGGTGAGGCCAGAAAGCTGCATGTTCAAGGACGTTCGACACTCACTACCTATCGACATCAAGAGGTGATTATTCGGCATCATTGACGACTGACTCAAAGATTGTGTGCCTAGAAAGATTGTCTCATGGCTGACGCTGCTTATAACTGCTATCAAGGGATATAAACAACACTGAAACTTTTCATGTTTACACATCATCACCGTCCTGTTGTGCCTTTATACATCTCATGAGACTAAGAGACTAGTTCTCCATTCCGCCGTTTCGATGGAACTGGAGAGAAACACTCATTCGGTTTACTATCTTTAAAGAAAAATAATAGCAAATACAGTCTATAGAAAGCAAATTACTCAAGTAAAGTTAAACATACTGTGATTTTTTTTTGCAAATAAATAACCTGGGAGGCACTGGAAAGCGTTCTTGCAGGAGTTGAAAATAAAAGCAGAAAAAATAGTTTTAGAATATTGCAAAGCTCAGTGAAGAAAGGAATATTTGTTTTTACTATAAATTATTTATGTCTTTGATTCTGACTCATAACTTAATGCTTAATGCATGACTGATCGTACTGGACAAATTTGTGTGTTGTTTATGTACTTTATATGCGATGGCTCCTGATACAACGTGACTCAGAGGCTGTGGTTGCAATAAATATGATTTGTCCATTACCTTTTTTTTAATTATTGAAAACGCTGTGTGAATAAACAGACTATTGCATAATAAATAAGTCAAGGCGCCTTTACACGTCAGTGGCGCACTGGGCATTTGAGGCTAGACTCATGTTTATGTAGTCCTCAAAATCACGTCGAACGCCTTTACTTCCCGGAGCTTCACCTGGTACCCATTTAAGGTTGGGTCAACCTAGGAGCTAAGGTTATGTTTGAAAAATAAATCTGGCACCGTATGGATTAAACAATTCTTACGCGATAAAGTAAAATAATGACAGGAGCACTGGCACAAAGAAAACAACTGGGGTTAAGGAAAAAAAAAAAAAAGGGGGGGGGGGGGGTTGTTCAGTTCTTCCAACCCTGCCGTCACCTTGTATATGTTCAAGACAAAAATACTTTCCGTGGAGAAATGCGTTTGTCCGTGGCTGGTGAACTGGCTAGCAGCTGTCCTGCATGAACGTATGGTTGACCTTCGCCTGAGTACATGGACTTTGGAAGCAAGCAATATCGACTGGGTTTACCTCAGAGTTCTGCAAATTCACCTGTGCTCTTCAATGTGTATAAAACAAAATTACAGAATTTGAAGTACCAGATGTTGAAAAGACATTGGTATTTGCAGACGATGTTCTTGTATATAGACAGGGGAACGATAGGAAACAGACATCCCAAGCAAGTGTCCATAAAGGGCTGACTAGTGTAGAGAGATGGGTTTGCTGTCATCAACTCAGAAAAAGCGACTGTTTTTCAGTACTTTCTGGGCAATAGAACAGTAAAAGCTAACGTACCGTTCCAAACAAACCTCACAAATAATGTCAGGAACATCAAAAGAGAAAGCAAATAAGGTACATGGGTGTCATTTTTTATACAAGCCTGACCTTCAGGGATCAATTGGAGGCAGCTGCGGTAAAATGTTAAAAAAAAAAAACAGCTCAAAACTCTGAAGATGATGGCAGCAATGGACATGGAACAGAAACTGATGTTCAAAAGGACCCAGCATGTGATGATGTTTATAATATCAAAGAGTCAGCTGATGAAACATGAAGTCATGCGTGTAATTCTGGGATGTACTAGAGATACCCCTGTAGTATGTATGCGATATACACTTGCACTGCCTATAATGGCATCCGTCAGTCCCGGGGGACTATGGAGATGTGCCGCTGGCTTTGGGAACAGCATCTGCTGTGACTGTAAAGTCCGATGCGGGAATGGCAGTCTTTGCCACACAGGATACACACAAAAGCAGATACTCCCTCGTTGTGAGGCAGTTTTACTCTCCGGTGTCTCCTCTCCACAGCTCGTTGTGTTCGGTTACTTTCAAAATTTGACAGTCCGTCTTTCACTTTCTGTCTCCATAGTAGTCGATCTGCAGCTGATTTTTCCCATGTCTCTGTGCCTATGTTGGTATCTATCAGGTCACGTTTGCATATATCTTTATAGCGCAGCTTTGGCCTTTCTGTAGGTCTATTCCCAGTTACCATTTCACGATTTTATAGGAGATCTTTTGGAATATCACCATCCTCCATGCGGGAGACATGTCCCAGCCAACGCAGACGTCTTTGCTTCAGTATACAATACATTGAGGGTATTTTTGCTCTTGTGAACACACATTCGTTAGAGACAAGGTCTCGCCATAATATACCAAGGATGCGTCTCAGACAGCGCATATGGAAGGTATTCAGTCTTTTTTCCTGTGGAGCATAGAGAGTCCAGGATTCGCAGCCGTACAGTAATGTGCTCAGGACACAAGACTCATAAACCTTCATTTTTGTATTAACAGTTAGCTTTTTGTTTGACCAGACTCTCTTTGTGAGATTTGCAAACATAGCAGAGGCCTTTCCTATACGTTTGTTTAGTTCTGCATCCAGAGAATGATTGCTTGAGATACGTGAGCCTAGGTACTCAAACTTATTTACAGCCAGCAGCTGATGGTCATACACACTAATGTTTTGTGGATTTCCAACATTCAATCCCATCACTTGTGTTTTGTTCAGACTGATTGTAAGCCCAAATTCTTTGCAAGCATTTGCAAAGCGATTCATCAGGATCTGCAGATCATCCTCTGAATGTGCCACAATGGCGGCATCATTCGCAAACAGAAAATCCCTGAGGCATCTCGTGTGCACCTTCGTCCTTGCACGTAGCCTCGACAGATTAAAAAGATTACCATCTGACCTCGAACGGAGGTATATCCCCTCAGTTGCTGTCCCAAATGCACGCCTCAATAATGCGGTAAAAAAGATGCCAAACAGCGTGGGAGCCAGAACACATCCTTGCTTTACTCCATTTCGAATCTGGAAGGGTCGAGATGATGAATCCTCATATATTATGGTCCCCCTCATATTCTCGTGAAAGGATTTGATTAGGCTCAGTAATATAGGTGGGCATCCATATTTTTCAAGGATCCCGAATAGACCATCTCTGCTGACATAGTTTGCACTGCCTACTATTGCAGATATGCTTAAAGTTCTACAAGTGCAAGCAAACCTCAGAGCAGATGCAGACAAGAAGCACCTCCCGCATGAAGCTCTAGGTAGGCCTTGGAGAGCGCAGACTAAAGACAATTGAACTTAAATTAAATGTACTAGATAAATTTGGGAGAGGAGAGGAGTGGGTCAAAGTGTCCCAACAAGAATCTGACTTGTAGAGTTGTAATCACTTTAGGCTGTGAGTGCAAGGACTGGTCAGGTGATGCTGCAGAGTCAGAAGTTCAACAAATGATTCATAATAATTTCCACCAAGGTGATGTAATTATCTATACACATGGCTCTGTGTTAAGGGGCAGAAGAAGTGCATAGGGGTTCATCGCAAAAGTGAACGGATATGGCTTAGTGCAGGCAAGCCTGGCGTATGATATTACAACGTCTAGTTTAGGAATAGAGGAAGTGGTAGTCACTGCTGCCTTTAACTGGCTTGAGAATCAGCTGTACACACATGTCGTAAATATAACTGACTCACAAAACATGTTGAGAAGGGTGCAGACATGTTCCGCGCCTGTGGAAAGCACACTTTAAAGGTCCCTGGTAGTTAGTGTCTTTTGGATTTTTGTTTCAGGGAATGCCACTATGTTGGGAAACGAGAAGGCAGATAGATGGCCGATTCTGCACCACTTGGTGGTGAACTGATGTATGACAAGCTAGACTTTGTAAGGACCCTCTGGGAGCGAGTGAACAGTGCGGAACCGCAAACAGATCATTACGGTCTGAGAAGAATGGCACTGCGAGGAGTTACTATGTGATCTGGCCAACACTCAACGCTGAAGGAAAGACGAGAAGGATATACAGTCAGTTACTGGTGCCATCGGAGTTGGTACTCTTTGCTTGTGTCACATATCACTCCTGTCGCGTGCCTAATGTAAGGATTTCTCCTTCCGAACCAACAGCACTCAGAGATAATTATGTTGAGTCGTTTGGCTCGTATTGGTCTAAGGGATTCCCCGTGGCCAATATACGCTCAACTTATCTCTGGAGTAGGGCAACTCAAGTATTGGCACTACAAAATATGTCAGTATATGAATACAATATTTCTAGGCACACTTGGCTGGACACCCCCACTACTTACTAAAGAAAGCCCCCAGGTTATGATAGGTCATTATCATAACCATGTTAACACATATAATGAAGATACATACACACACAACTGCTAAACACTTAAAAAGATGAAAT